TCCACGAACACAGCACGTCTGTCCAGTCATTTCAGATCATCTCTGACTTCTTTCTCCAGTGTTCTGCCGTCGCTGGTGTGCAGATCCCTTACGTGTTTTGTGAGATTTATAGCTAAGCATTTCATTCTTTTCAGACCAACCGTAACTGATAGGGGTTTGTGGGTTCTTTTTAAATTTCAGTTTCCAATGATTTGTTGCTAGGATATAGGAGTACAACTGATTTTTGTGTCTTGGCCTTGATTCCTACAATCTTGCTAACTCTCTTATTAGTCCCAGGAGCTTTTTACTGATTCCCATGGGGCTGTCTACACAGACAATCATGCCATCTGCAAATAGGGACAGTTGTTCTTTCTTTTCCATCTGTATGCCCTCTATTTATTTTGCTTGCATTGGTCAGCGCTTCCAGTACGATGGTGAATACAGTGGTGGGAGCAGACGTCAGCGCCTTGTTCCCCTTCTGAGGCGAAGTGTTCCCCCTTCCAAACACTGTGTTACACTGCACCTATGTATGCTGGCTGTAAATTTTTGGCAGATGCCCCTCTTCAGGTTGAGAAAGTTCCCTTCTCTTACTAGTTTGCTGGTAGCATTTATCATGAATGAATGTTGAATTTTGTCAAGTGTTTTTTCTGCATCCATTGACATAATTGTGTGGTTTTTGTTAAGCTGTTCATATGGTGGAATACATCTATTGATTTTGGAAAAGTATAACAGTCTTTTGTTCCCAGGATAAATCACAAGTGACGTGGTGTACTATTCTCTTTACATAATGCTGTTGGATTTGATTGCCTGATATTTTGTTGAGGACTTCTGTGACTGTGTGTGTTCATGAGGGCAATTGGTTTGTGGTGTTCTTTGCTTGAACTGTCTTTATCTGGTTTTAAACAGATGTGTATATTATATACTTTTCTGAGGTCTCAGGTGACAATTTCACTGTTTTTAATCATCATGAAAACTTAAGAGAAGTTTTATCTTGGCCTTTCTGTTTGATTTTCCAAGTCCGTGACGAGAAAGACAACTTCCAAAGATAACAACAATCATTCTCGGGGAAAATGGGGCTGTTTTACAATGAGCCACTGTAGCTCGGAGAATGCAACGCCATAAAACCCACAACTTTACCGCCATCACCTGCACGACCCTCCCCGGCCCCAGCACATCCCCCAGAGGGTAGGATTTGTGAGGGACTGTGCTGACTGGCTTTGGATGAAAAACAGACACGGTTTCCGCCAAATAAAATATATACTATTATCTCACCCTGAAATGCAAATATTCATGTTTGTCTTTGAGTTACCTAGGAAAGTACCTGTCAAACAGTAACCCTTAATTCCTACAGTTCCTACAATGCTCGGTCATTCACCCACATGCTACTCACTGAGAAGGTCAAGACACAACAGGGTTAAGAGATTGCAAGATCAGCGGAGCTAGACTTTGAATTTAAACATCTCCTATTACCCAACTTTGTTAGAAAAAGTCCTACACAAATGCAATGCAATGTCAGAAGGTCACTTGGGCATGGGAGGGCCTCAGGAAAGGGATCCGCAGCAAAAGAGTTCCCTGAGGGGGTCTCTTCAGAACTAAAATTCCGATTCTGCTCTTGGCACTTTTGAGAAAGCACATCCCCTCATTGCAGGAAGCTGGCAGGTCTGTTGGGTGAGAAGCCGGACACCACCCAAAAATGCACACCTAGGAACAGTACCCTCCACACCAAGAAATTAAAACCCTTGTTCATCTGTTGCTTAAGCATTGGAAAAGTCACCCTAAAGGTCACCAGGTGCCCAAAGACCACAGAAATGGCCTTGGATTCAAGGTCTCCTGCTCTGCTCTGTGCAACAATTCAGAATGATGTGTCTGGGAGGCGGCAAAGAGCACACTCCAAAACCAGCCTTCCTACGTTCACACCCCAGCTCTACCGTGGCACCAGAGCCAGGCGGCCCTGAACAACTCTCCACCTCCGAGCCGCCACTTCCTCATCCAGAGAATGAGGGTGACAACGGCGGCGTATGCATTCAATCAATGATACCTGTTATTATTTTTCAGTCCAGGGCCTGTCCTCTTCTGACACTGTCATTTCATCATGGTATGTGTGACCGTGTGCCTTTCCCTCATCCCCACTCCAAGAACAAAAGTCTGCTTCCAACAAAGGTGATGGGGAAAAATAAGCCAGAGACCTACATTAAGTACTTCACTAAAGAATGTCTGGGAGTAAAAACCAGTTAGCTCTCAGAATCCACACTCATAAGGCAGAAGGTAATTTAAAGCAATCGTTTAAACCAACTCTTTTCCCACAAAAAGTGCATTTTTACTGTTTGATATAATAAACCACAGGAGACAGTCTCCCCAACTAAAAGACAGGAATGAGTTAATTTTAAAAGACACAATATATGAAAATGCAGTGATTCATTTTCATAATATTCCAGATAACTTTTACTATTAAATAACACTCCATTTAAAATATCAATTTAACTTTTAAATTGCTAGGAACTGACCTATCTTCCATTCAAATATACAATTATAATTTGGGGTTGGCATTTTCACCAAGTTTCTTTGAAGACAGAAAATACCAATTAGCAATATTGATGGCTAATGTTTCTTACACACTAAGCACCTAACAAGCTCGGTGCTAATTTCTACATATTACTGTAGTTCATTCTCTTAATCCTTTGAGGAAGGTACAGGCTCATTTCACAGAAAAACCTCAGCCTTGAGGGTGACTCTTAACGGTTCTGATCAAGAAATGACACTAGCACCCGTGTGAGGTGTTAATACAATGGCAGGAAAAGACAAACTTGGATGTACATGTGAATCACCTGAAGAGATCATGTGACTCAGAAAATCTGTGGGGGGCCCTCTCTGATTCCGCATTTCTGACAAGCTTTCCAGGGCTGGAGATGCTGCTCACCACACTTGGAGTAGCAAGGATCGACAGGTTGTGATGGGCCACAGACCACAAGGAAATGCCTACAAAAGCTAAAATGAAAAAAAAAGTCCACCTTCTCTCAAAAAAACACAATTAGAACGCATCCATAGTTCTTGATGAAATTCTGAGCCTTCTAACATCTTAGAAATATCTTCATAACTTCTTCAAGACTTCTTTTTCTTTCCAGTTTAAATTTAGATTCCAGTTTCTTGGACTTTTGGGGGGCTTTTCCCCCTAAAAACCCTGTTATCAAGGCCGAGAATCTAAGTATACAGAAGACTGTTTCAAGTCACCATACCTTTCAAGCAGGTTCCCTCCCACCCTTCACTCACCTCCACATAACCTGTCTCTGTTTAAATTCTGGAGATCAGACAAATGGCAGAGTTAGGTGAGGTGTTAGGGGCTGGGCCCCAAAGCCCTTCCAGATGCAAAGGAAAGTTCTGAGTCGTTACACCAAAATAACACCTTACAATACCACTGGCTTCCATTACTGGCCTTAGGTGACAAAGTTCCAGCAATGAGGTGATAACGGCTGGATAACATTTTATACAAACTACTGGGTTTCAATTCTTTTCCCAGCTCTTCTGAGTGGCAAGTGCTATTTACTTTCAAAAGTCTGCAAGGGAAACAAAGCAAGGTGCTTAACCAGGACCCATATTCTACCTGGACCCAAGATGCTGCCCTGCTCTTTGATCCATTTCTGATCGTCTGTGCTGTACTCCAACACTGCCTAGCTGCCTCTTTCAAAAGGCAGTTACACACCGCCCCCATCTCCTCCATTCTCTTCACTAACAGCAATGCATAACTACAGAACCAACACATCTCAAAGAGCACTGCAGCTTACCGGAACAGGTCAGTTTAAAATTCTGGAAAGGAATAACCTACTGCTTTTGTCTTTCCTCAGAGCCCTTCAAAAATACCCTCCAGCAGTCAGCAGAACAAGCATTTCACCCAGGAGAGATAAAACAGCCTATGATCCTGCAATTTATGAACACTGAGACCTTTATTTAAAAGGTGTCCCCAAATGACGTTATTCCCTAGGCACGCTTATCTATGTACTCAAGTCAGCACAAGAGGCCCAAGGCTTGGAAGAAACAAAATGCACATACATTACAGCTCCATGTAAATGGCTTCTCTGGCTGAGGAGTCTATAAAGTTCTGCTGGCTGGCCTCGAAGGAAGGCCTACCTGTGACAGAATATCTGGACAATTTTTTCCAGAATGGAGCATGCCCTGTTCACAGCAGAGCTAAGGAACTGCCCTAAGAGGCCTGCTACAAAACCACAAAAGAGGGGCTGAAGTGACAGGCCCCTGCCTTGAGCACCCTGGAAGCTAAAAATAAGAATTCTGAGAAATGAGCTCTACCATAGGCAAGTCCAACAGAAAGTTCTCTGTTTCTGTTACTTCCCAAACTGGCGTCCCTCCCAGAGTGATTTAACTCTGGGTACCAATTGGGCAAAGCCAGCCACCGTGCTGGGGCGGAGGAGTCAAGGATACCGGTTCTGACTAGGTTAATTAAGGAATCAAACCTCTGCTTTAATGGAGACTTTAATGGGCAGACCCGGGCTTCCCTACTGCATCTAAGCTACATGGCTCCATTCCACAAGCCTTTATTGAACGTCTATCATATGCCCGGTGCTGCTAGGAACCAGGGAGCAAGCAGAGCCACGGTCCCCAGTGGTGGAAGCAGAGAAGGACCATCAGGAGGAGTGGAGGTTGTGCGGGCCCGAAAATCTGTCACAAGTTGCTATGAGCAGTAGTGCCCAGGGGACAGCATAACCCCCAAGCGGGCTCCGCGGACCACTAAGCCCGAAAGAGCGAAGGTGGGAGTAAGGCAGGTAGGCCAGGAGGCAGGTGTTCAGGTAGGAGGCGCTCACCTGAGGCAGCAGAGTAGAGTTCCCAAGGGACTGGGGGAGGGCGGCCCTGGGACCCCGGGAGGGAAGAAGGGGTACGTGGGGCAGGGGTCTGGCCTCGAGAAGCGGATGCGCGGCGGAGGCCAGCCGGGCCTGCGCCCCGGGAGCAGAGCAGGGCGAGAAGGCGCGCGGCTAGGCCGCCCGCCGTTACCTGGGGCCCCGCCCGACACCTACCACTTGCGCGACCTTGAGGCAGCCGAGCGCGCCGCGCAGGTAGTCGGGGTCGCAGCGCAGGCCGGCAAGCCCGCGGCGCTGGCTCACCGGCTCGGTGGTGGGCTGGTACGGGCTGCTGGCGCCCGAGATCATGGAGGTGCTCGAGGCCTCGCCCTCGAAGCCGTCCAGCTCCTCGCCGCTCCGCATGCTGCCGCCCGGCCCGGGCCGCCTCGCGCGGCCGGTCCCCGGCGCCCGGAGCTGGTGGGCTCAGCGGGGCCGCCGCATCGCCGCCGCCACCCGACTGACCGCCTGCGGCCCGCCCCGCCGCCTCCTCCCCTGAGCCCGCCGCCGGCTGCGGCCGCGGTTCGGTCCGCTCGGGCTCGGCTCCCGCCGCCTCGGCAGCGGAAAGGAAAGGAGGCGGGAGCGGGTGGAAAGGGAAGGAGGCGGGAGCCGGCGCGGCGGGACGGGAGGGGGCGGAGCTAGTGCCCTCTCGCCGGCCGCTCGGCGGCGCTCCTAGGATCGGGAGGGGCGGAGGTGGCGGCCCCGCGCCGCGGCCCTCTGGGGGCGGGGCGTCCTTAGGCCCCGCCCTCACCTGAGCCGGGGGTGGGACTAGACTCGGCTTCTGGCCATTCCGGAGTGTGAAGGTGGAAGTCCGGGAAGGGATTCTGGGGACCCGGAGGAACCGGAGCTGAGGATGGAGGTGGACCCAGGGGCAAGGAGTTGCTGTCCCAGGGAGCTGCTTCAGCTTTTCCTCTGGAGGATGTGGGGTCCTCTGCAGGTAGGCCGGGGTACTTCCCGGTGAAGACGAGGATGCGCTGTGTGATTTGGCTGCTGGGAACGGTGCGTGGCCCAGGGTGGGACAGACTCGGACTGTTTGTCTCACGAGAGGGGTCTTAGTGTCCGGGCTCCCACACTGGGCGCCTCTGGACCAGGGGCTGAGTGCTGCAGGGATGCAGAGTCGAGATGAGTGGGGGTCACTTAGTATGTGTCTGCAGGACCGACACGCGGTAAATATTTATGAATAACTACAGTGTCAAGTTCTCGACCCACTGGCCTGGCCGGGAAGGGGCTCTAGTTCACAGTAGACCCTCGGAGACCCTCTCTTAGTTGAATAGGTTTTACAATCTCTGTCTAATCATCAAGGTAAAAACAGACTTTTGCGCTGAAAGGCATTAATTAGAGACCAATCTGTAATTCAAGTGTGAAGATTTAAGTAAAACACTGACTTTCTAAGAACTGTCGCTTTGGTATTGAACTCTTTACACACCACCAATGTGACGGGAGCCTCCCATGCTCCAGGCACTGAGCGAGGCGCTAGATGAAGAAGGTATTATTGTTCCCATTTTACAGGAGAAATTACTAAGACTCCAGAGCCCTGTAGTAGCTTGTCCCAGGCCACACAATTCATTGGTGGGCAGAGCCCAGATTCCAACTTTCTTCACTGCATAATGTTGCCTAATATACAACCTAGATGAGTTTGTGGACTCCAAGCTAAGCAGTAAGTACCAAAAGGGCTCTCATCTTTTTGTTACCAAAGATGGGAAACTCAGTGCCTCTAATTAATACTCTATTCAACCAACAAATATTGGGCACTTATTATGCACTAAGCAATGTGCTAGGGACTGGAGACAGGTTGACAGTTAAAGATAACAAGTTGAATGGTTGGGTGTAGGCTCTGGCCTCTGGTCTTTCCCCAAATCCCAGTGAAATAATTATGGGGATTTATTTTTTAAGGGCATAACACCATTGGGGCAAAGAATGGGAAAGGAGACAATAGCAACAAAATGCTGGAAACAGAAAAGCAAGTGGGCAATTGGTGACTGATTTCACAAATCCAAGAAGCTAGACCCTCACCTGGCACAGGGAAAGGCTGAAATGCAACCTAGATTCTATCACAGAACAAAGGGCTCCGGGGTGGGCAGCACCAGCACATCTGTAAGTGGTGGTAGAGGCAGGAGTAAAAAGACAAGGTCTTTTTAAGACCTTGAGAGTCTTAAAAAGCAGTTTGGATCCCTCCAAGACGGTAGTTCCGGTCTCTGCAGAAGGTCTCAGCTAGGTCACTAGGCACAGTTGAGGTCAGGGGCACCATGCTGAAAACTGTGTGTATATGTGTGTATCCCTGGGTATTAAGTAATATGAAAAAAAAAAGTTCAAGGAAAATCTCACAAGAAATAGAGCCAAAAGACAAAAAGATAGAAAAGGAAGTTATAGCTATAGTCCAAGAGAATAATAGAATAAGACCTCCATAAAGTTGGAAGAGAGAGATGGAGTGAAAAAGACATAAAATAATAATTCAGCCCTGGCTGGTGTGGCTCAGTGGATTGAGCTCAGGCTTGTAAACTGAAAGATTGCAGGTTCAAGTCCCAGTCAGGGCACGTGCCTAGGTTACAAGGCCAGGTCCCCAGTTGGGAGTATGCAAGAAGCAACCAGTTGATGTATGTCTCTCACTTCGATGTTTCTCTCCCTCTAAAAAAAAAATAAATAAATCTTTAAAAAAATAATAAAAATAATAATTCAATAACATTTCTCAGAGCCAAAGAACATGAGTTTTGGACTTAAAGGACCCATCAGTGCCCAGCATAGTGAGTGGATATGGATGGGTACCAAGGCACATCAGACCACTGGGGCAAAAAGAAGATCTCTGAGATTCCAGGAGGAGCAGAGCAGATTCCATTATAAAGGGTCAGGAATCAGAAAGGCATCAGATTTTTCCATAGCAGCTTTAGGAGCTACAAGAGAACAGAGCAAACCCCTCCACGTTCTGAGGAAAAGCGATCCCACCCAGAAGTCTGTTTCCAGCTGGAGTATCAGTCAGGTATGAGAACTGATGGCAGACTCAGACATGCAAAGACTTCCTGCCTCTTTCTCAGGAGGCTGCTGGGGGAGGACATCACCAAAACAAGGATTTAAACCAAGGAAGCAGAGGACAGAAAATCCCAGAAAGAGTGGACGCAGCCTACAGAGAAGTGATAAGTATTCCAGGGTGAAGGGCAGAGGCCCCCATGCAGTGGGACTGGTAGTCAACCAACCCAGACTGGAGCAGCCAGAGACTTCTAGAGACTTCTTCAAGATGAAATTAAAAGTTGGCCCTGGCTGGTGTGGCTCAGTGGATTGAATGCTGGCCTGTGCACCAAAGGTCGCTGGTTTGATTCCCAGTCAGGGCACATGCCTGGGATGCGGGCCAAAATGCTCCATATACCACAAAGCAAGATACATAGTTTGGGGAAAGTTTTGAGATAAACTAGTGATACGCACATAGGAAACTAAGCAAATATTCATCAATACTAACTACAGGGAAAATAAAATGATTTATAGAAAAAGATAAGTATGCTCTGGCTGGTGTAGCTCAGTGGATTGAGTGTGGGCCTGCAACCATATGATTGTGGTTTGATTCCCAGTCAGGGCACATGCCTGGGTTGCAGGCCAGTTCCCAGCAGGGGACTCAAGAGAGGCAACCATACATTGATATTTCTCCTTCTCTCCTTCCCTTCCTCTCTAAAGATAAATAAATAAAATCTTTTTTTTAAAAAAGTAAAAAGATTCTAGTTAAAAAAATTTTTAAGAAAAATAAGTATGGTAAACCACATAGCTCAACTGGGAATAATATTTGCGTAAACACAGTAATGTAAACAATGAATACTGACCCACCTAAAAGCAGGTGACCATACCAGGAGAGGATGGGGTCCAGGATGCGTGCCTGCGTGATAGGGGGAAGGGCAGGATGTGCAGGAGACCTAAATACCCATCATTCATCATGGGAGCTCGGTGGATGCTTAAAACTGGAAAACCGGGAGGTAGCAGTAAATGCATGTTCGTTAAAAACACAAAGATAAAAACAAAAATCATCAGTTTCGAGTTCGAAGCGCTGCCTCTGGGGGCAGGAAATGTGGGGGTTTTAGGCCTTGTAGAACTACTTGATTCTCTCAAACATGTGCACTTATAACTTTAATAAAGATGAAAGCTAAATTAAAAACCATTTTTAGAAAAGGAACATGCGAGCCCTGGCTGGTGTAGCTCAGTGGATCGAGCATGGGCCTGTCAGGCAGGGGGTCGCTGGTTCGATTCCCAGTCGGGGCGCATGCCTGGGTTGCGGGCCGGGTCCCCGGTGGGGGACACGTGGGAGGCAATCACACATTGATGTTTCTCTTCCACTCTTTCTCCTTCCCTTCCCCTCTCTCTAAAAATAAATAAATAAAATATTTTTTAAAAAAAAGAAAAGGAACACACGAGCCTGTGGCTAGGAAGGCAGACAGAGGTCCGGCCACCACAGCCATGGAGACCAAGCACTGAACGCAGTGAATGCAACAGCAGGTGCTGAGTGCTGTTCACAGGGGTACAGGGATCTCAGCGAGGAGTCAGTCGGGTCTGTGGGTCAGAATGTGAGCCGGAGTTTGAAATATGAACAGCAGTTAGCTAAGCAAAGAGATGGTAAGGGGGGCGTGGAACAGTGTTCCCTGGGCAGAGGGAACAACACGTGCAAAGGCCCAGACACAAGCAAAATCAAGGCACAGGGAAGAGGCTCACGGGCGGAACTCAAGGGGAAGAGGACTAGCAGACAAGACCCAAGGCTGAAACGTAGCCTTGGGCCAGTCTCCGCAGGGCCTCAGGGGCCACGTGAGAGGGTGGACTCTGAACAGAAGAGTGTTGGGCGGAAGAGCAGCCTGGTGAGGCCTAACTTCTACAATTACTCTCTGGCTACAAGAGGGAGATGGACTGAGTGGAGGCAAGATTGGGGGTTTCCTCCAGTACTTACTGTTTCCTGTCCCTGGACCCAAGCCTAAGTTTATTTTTAGTGTCAAGGACAGACTCATTTTTTTTTTTTTTTTTTTTTACTTTTGACAGAAGTTCACAGACTTCCAAAAGGCATTGCTGGGAATCCCACATAGTAATCGTAGATAAAACGTGGTATTATGGGGCCTTCCCCAGCGTTAAATTGCAATACCTTATGAGTCTGTGGCTGTGGCTGTGTCTCTGAGTGTCCGTGAGTGCTGAAGTCAAAACGAAGCTAATAAATGACCGAGAAGATAAATTAGTGATAGATGCATAGAAAACTAAATGCCTTGGACAGGTCTCTGGGTTTCAGGTTCTGGTCCACTTACTGAGAGCTGACTCAAGACAACCAGACTCAGAAGAGACTGATGAATAACCAAATGCTACTTCATCAATTGTTGCCAGGGGAGAGACTCTGCCAGCAACCACAATGCTGATTCTTATCTCAATCCCTGAAAGAGCTGCTCAGAGTATAGCATCCTTGATATGGGCTATTCCCCAGGATACCCCAGTTCACCTGGATCAGGCCTGGCCTCTTCCCAAGTCCCTCGGCCTCTGTTAGCCCTGGGCCGTCTCCTCAAGGACAACTGCCTCCCAGTCAGGGAACCCCTCACTCAGCCCCTGCGGCAAGCACGCTGATTCCATGGACTCACCGAGAGTCCTAGTGTCAAAAGCCTTGATCCTACCAGTACTTTAG